TTCAGGCGTTGGCGCCATCGATCATCTATGCCTATCACTGCGTTACAGCGATTAGAACAGAAAGGTTACAAGATGAAGGTGATAAAAACAAGTTCAAATGTAGACTGAAAGAAAATATAAGTGGTTTGGATGAATTATGTATGAAGGAGTTAGACTTGGAGAATGTATGGCAAAATGTAAAGAAAGGTTCAGTGGATGCAGCTACCGAAGTATGTGGTGTTAGTAAGAGGAAGAATGAAAGGAAAAATAATACGTTATGGTGGGATGATGAGATACGTATGGAAGTTGAAGCAATGAAGAGAGCATGGCTAGATTTACTAGCAACAAAGGCTGGTAATTCTAGCGGTACGAATGATGATATTGAAAGAAAAAAGGCAGTCTTTAAACATCTTAATAAGAGAGTAAAAGTAGTAGTTGAAAGAAAAAAGCAAGAAAGAACGGATAAGAATGATAGAAGAATATTGGATAACTTCCAGGCAAATATTAAAATGTTCTGGAAACTTATAAGAACTGCCAGGGGACATTCAAAACAGCCTATGATGAATGTTATAAGAGACGAAAATGGCTATATTCTGAAAGATGAAGTTTTGAGTTTAAAGAGATGGAAGGAATAATTTGAAAGCGTGTTTATGAGTGAGGGGACAACGTGTGTACTAAGTGAAGTAGAAACTACGAAAGAAAAGGAAAGAGGTTGCGAGATAAGTATAGATGAAATAATGAAAGCAATGAAAAGCATGAAAGCAGGTAAGGCTGCCGGATATGATAGAGTTTCACTCGAAATGCTAAGGGCTGGAGAGGAAGTCGTGGCAGGCCTGCTGCACACCTTGTTTAATTTATGCTGGGAACTGAAGCGGGTACCGGTAGACTGGTGCAAAGCCGTGATGGTCCCAGTATATAAAGGAAAAGGGTCGCAGCAGGACTGTAATAAAAACCATCATCAGCCTTCTTAGCATTGTGGGAAATCTGTATGCTAAGGTACTGGTTGAAAGGGTCATGAAAGAAACTGATGGAAAAATTTGGGATGTGCAAGCGGGATTCAGAAAGGGAATGGGATCTTTTCCATGCGCATGATCGCAGAGAAGTTTTTGGCCAAAAACCAAAAGGTTTTTTGTGCGTTCATGGACTTGGAAAAGGCCTATGACAGAGTGGATAGGGATGTGCTATGGCAAACACTGAACTCATTTGGGTTGAGCGCTGGCTTGATACAGGCATTGGAGTCTCTTTATAGGGACTCTAGTGCTTGTGTTAGGATCAACGGGGTCTACTCGGATTAGTTTGACATCCATAAAGGTGTCAGACAGGGCTGTGTGGCTTCCCCGTGGCTGTTCAACCTATTTATAGACAGTTGTTTGCAAAATTTGAAAGTTGAAGAATGCGGATTAAGAATGGGTGAGTTAACCGTCAAATGCCTTTTGTACACCGATGATCAAGTTATCCTTGCGTCGTCGGCGACCGAGTTGCAAATGATGGTTGCATTAATGAACAGATCATTAAAAGAAAGGGGTATGAAAGTGAACGCAAGTAAGACGAAGGTTATGGTTTTTGAAAGAGAAGAAAGTAAAACGATTTGTGAAATAAGAATAGAAGGGGAGTTGATCGAGCAAGTAGATGAGTTTGTATATTTGGGCTGCGTATTTAGCAAGGATGGGAGATATGATAAGGATATAGAATGACGAGTGAATGCGGGAATTAGAGTAAATGGGGCCCTGCACTCTATTGTGAAGAGTCAAAATATGTCAAAAAAGGCACGTATCGCAATTCACAATGCTGTGTTGGTCCCCACTTTAACGTATGGTAGTGAAAGTTGGGTGTGGCAGAAGAAGCACGAGAGTAGAATCAACGCAGTAGAAATGCGGTCCTTAAGGAGTATGTTAGGGCTGAATCTGAACGACAGGGTAAGAAATTGTGTAATAAGAGAAGAGTGTGGTTTGCAAGATGATGTTGTGACCAGGATTAAGAAAGGAATGCTTCGGTGGTTTGTTTATGTGGAAAGAATGAATGAGGAAAGAGTGGCAAAGAAAATTTATGTTGCAGAAGTGAATGGCAGAGTCGGAAAGGGACGTCCTAGGCGAAAATTTATCGACCAAATTGGCGATTTGTTGAAAACGGGCCAAATTAGGAGTACCCTTAACCGACGAGCATGTATGCGTAGGTGTATGTATGTGAAGGAGGCGAGAGAGGTGTGTCAGGATCGTGCCAAATGAAAGTCTGTAGTCTCTGCCTACCCCTCTGGGTGACAGGCGTGAGTGTTTATGTTATGTTATGTTAAAACCTCCCGCTTTATTTTTTTATTCATTTACGTGTATTTATAACTACATAAAAAATCTGGCACTGACAATAAAATTTAGATGACGTTTATTTTAACATGCACAACTATTTAACATATATTTAAATAATTATAGTATTCTATATTTATACAAAATATTCAAATTAATACATTGAGGGCTTAATCATTTATTGCTCATGAATATTTCATACGAAAAAATGTATAACAAAAAGTATAAAGTTAATAATATGTGTTAATGATTTGAGATAGATGAAATTTAACAGTTTTTGTAAACACTTCTGCATTTTTAACTTCAATTTCTTCTAAAATCGCTTGTTGCACTATTTCTAATTTTCTTAAATGTTGCAATAAATTTGTTTATTCAAAATTTCAAACAAATTATTAAACAATTATTTTCATTCTTATTACTTATCGTTATTTATAACATTTGTATGTTACATCGATTAACTACTAACGTTGTAACAGGTAGTTTATTATCATATAAAGTAACTTATCAGGTCAGGGTAAACGTTTCTTAGTATTTGATATAGACATTTTGTTCTATATATATAGGGTATTTTGAAACGCTCCCGAAAACGAAGACAGACGATAGTACTAAGGAAACCTTTGATGATAAGACGAAAATAGAAACCATCCCGGTGAAAAAAAAAACATTTTTCACAATGTTTAATTTGCTTCATTCACGTTCCATCATGTTAGTACAGCTAAATGTAACGATAATTTCATTAAAAAATCATGAAAATACTTAAACATAAAACCAGCAGTGCAAATAAACCTGAAATGAGCTCATTATGCTAATGAACTCTTTTTGTCTAGCTCGGTGCGAAACAAACTGTATTCACGCTCTCTCTACCCTTCCCTTTCACACATGCGCTGCCGCCTCTCGGCCGACTAGTGTTGCCTCGCAATTTACACCTGTTCAGCCTTGCCAATATGTGTTTTTATGAGATTTTTATTATGCAAGGATTTTGAAAATCGATTGCCTGGGCCTAGGAAGACCCTTTTTTTTCAAGAAATCTAAATACTTATCTTAAAATTTTTGTTAAGTTACTTATGAATATTGAAGGACTATCTTTTTTAATTATCATTTTGCACAACATTTAATTTTCGGATTGTTTTGGCAACTTTTGTGTGTCATTTAATACTTTTCATTTTTTTATAGGATAGGGTGACAAACGGGCGCACAGTCTATATGATGGTAAGTGGTTGCTGCGGTCCATAGACATCTACATCTATCCTCGATTACAAAACATAATGCAGATGCATTGTCACTCATGAGTACTAAGATGGAATGCCTCGTTTCCAGTAAAAAGGGTTTCCGGTTCTCTACACTCACCATACGAAATACAGCAGCATTAAGCTACTATTTCACACTGGTCTTCTGTGAGAGCGTGTTCCTTCCCTGGTTGAGCCGATCCATTCGTGCTACAACTATACTACTAATATAACCGCAGCATGGGTCTACCACGTATAAAATCATCATTTCTTTATTTTTTATTTTACGGCAGAGGAAATGCAGCTACTGTGTCAGTCTTTTTTAAAGGGAACGAATTAAAAATACTCCACGGAGTAAATGCTTGTTACAAGTATATGGAGTGTAAAAAAAAAATTGGTAAAAAAGAAAAAAATGTTAGTTTAAAAATAAATCTAAATAAAATTAATTGAAAATTATTTCATTACTTAAAATAAAGTTGAGGGGAATTTGAAATGGACTTTCGGGGAATTTGACAAATACGAGGTAGGAGGTCGTAGGTCAAATTTTAGTAGGTTAATTTCGGTTTGGCAACGCCGCGCATGTTGCAAATCCAAAATTAGTTTTTAAAACAGTTCCGTGTGAGCGATATGACAGTTCAAACGTTTTGTTTATTAAATTCTTGTTGTTATTACTTGTTGTTACGTTTTGTTTTTCTTGTTTTGTTTTAATAATGCCTAATGCGTACGTTTGTAGTGCTCGTGAATACGGCAACACGTTAATGTGCCTTGGAGAAGCTCGCAGAAATGCTTCGCATGCATTACGCATTTACTATTTACTATTTTATAACGTATCGCTAAATTTTTAAGGCGTCGGGATGGAACAAGTGTGTCTTGTCATACTGGCATTAGGTCCATAAACGTCAAAAATTTTTTCACGGCTTTAGTCGCAGTTTTTGTCCTTTTATAATAAAAATTCATACTGTATGGAATTTCTTCGTTAGATTCACTCATGTTGGCAGAAAGAAAAGCACTTGAAAAATGGCGTCTAAGTGTTTTTTACTTTGTATTTTTCTTTTTCTTAATGTCTTATATATATTGATATTAAAACCAGCCAGATACAAACAGTACAAACAAAAATGTTTTCTTAAATTTTATAAAAACAAAATACGAAGACACTTTTTCCCGACCTATTATTATAATATCACTGCGTTTTAAACGAAGCTTTCAGTCAAGCCACGCTGGCAACACTGATTTTAGAGTTGGCAGCATTGCATTTGCATTTCCAGGTATATATAATATACTCTATGGCATTTGCATTATTGCTCAATCCAGTGAGCAGATTTGTCATCCGTGTGGAATTAGGTAAAATTCGTTCGTGTTAAAATTACAAATATTTCTAGTAACTGACCGCGCTTAACTCCGTTGTGTTCTGAAAAATCATCAAGACTGTGATTTATCAAATAGTGGTGTTGTGGGTTTGGCTACGTATGTTCAGTTCAAAACAGTGCTACAAGCAAAGATGAATAACATCAGCAGAACACCGAAAACAACACCTATAACGGATGATTACGATATCTCAAATACCGTTCTTGGCCTCGGTATTAATGGAAAGGTAAGTTCAAATAAGTTCTCTATATAAAAATGTCATAAATCTTTTTTGTAATTACTTTCATTCATTGTTTACATGTATGACGTAAAGTTCAAAATTAGCCCGCACATTGCTTTGGTTTTTTTATCACACCGCGGTTGACTGGACAACGTAGGTCGACGAGATGTTGCTAAAAATTTCAATGTCGTTTTGTATTTGACGTAAAGTATTCAGACGATTACGCGTGATTTTAAAATAAAACTGCCGCATTTATTAACTTATAAATTTGTAATAATTTTATAACATTAAAATAATAAATATATCTAAAAAAAACTAATTATATAAACATATAGTAATATACATAGAATATCCCTTATACCCATATTGGATTATTCTTTTAATTATTCTGAAATAATTAAAAGAGTAATACAACATTAGATAGAATCTTATAGATCTATAATATTGGTCTTTTTTCAATTATAAAACAACCTCTATACTCAGTTCTTTTCCTAAATATTATCTCGAAAGAGTTTAACACCAAAGATTAGAGTTAAGGAGTTAACCTTTTGAGCGCCAAAGTCGTCTATACGTGACCAGCACCCGCGTGCCCTGAGCGCCAACGACGTCTATAGAAGACAAAAAGCCGGCCCACAAAAATATGAAATATAGACATTGGAAAATTATTACTGGTATTTTAATTCTACACCCCTCAAAAAAGAATAACCCAGCAACATGTGAGTATAAAAAACAAGTCTCCTAGAGCCACAAGTACTAAGAAACATTGAACTAAAAAAAATGGATTTTTATCTAAGCAAATACTATGTCCAACACGCCAAAGTCGTCTATGTTAGACCGCTAGTGTTCTAATGCGTTAGGCATAAATTTATTGAAAACTATTCAAAATTAAGCTCAAACGTGTTATTTTTTTTTTCTATTATTATTGATATTTAAATAAAACAAAAGGTTAGAAATACAAAACTGTAATTAGCTGCATGAATTTAAAAAAAATTAACAAATTATCTTCGCATAATAAATCTAACATCTCAACTCTGGCGCATCCCTAGCGCGACATCGAAAATCAGTTCACTGGGCGCCGTGGTCAAGTATAGACGACACGCTGATGACGTCATAAGCGATTAGCGGGAAAATTAGTGCAGTGCAACATGAACGATTCCTCAGAACTCATTCGGATTTTGGAAAGCGTCGACGATGATGAATTTTCGGAAATTTAAAATTATCGTGAAAACAAAGTTTTTCGTTTTCGATTAACTCTACCTCAATGAGGTAGGAATACACTTTATAGTCTTTTTACGGTTAATTTCTTTTTTATAGCATAGCGTAATAAACGAGCACACAGTCCACCTGATGGTAAGTGGTTACTGTGGCCCATAGACATTTACAGATGTAACATGTAACAGGATGTACATCTGCATTTTGATTCGTAATCGAGGATAGATATCCTCGATTACGAATCAAAATGCAGATGCGCTCTCAGCCGTGAGGACTTAGATGGAATGCCTCGTTTCCAGTAAAGAGGGTCTCCGGTTCTCTACACTTACCGTACGAAACACAGCAGCATTAAGCTACTATTTCACGCCGATATTCCGTGAGAGCGTGGTTCTTCCCCGGTTGAGCCGACCCATTCGTGCTACAACTACTCTCCCGTAATATAACTGCAGCATGGCTCCACCACGTTAGAAAATTTGCTTTGGACAGCTAAACATCTATGTTTTATTATTCCATAAGATTTTTATTATTTTAAGACTAATATTACCTATAATTTATTAATTATTTTTAATTGTTGTTTTCTATATTAAGTACTGATGGAGTTAAAGACCAAGATTTCAATATTTTATGACTAGACCTAGTGCAAATAATTATTTACAATTGTTGATTAGTGAATAATTATGTACCCTTTGTTGATTTCTGTAATAAGTACTGATTTTTTTATTCCATGACCAAGATTTTAATATTATAAGACTGATTTTCCTAGTGCGAATAATTATATACATTTGTTGATTGGTGGATAATTATGTACCATTTGCTGATTTTTATAATAATTACTGATTTTTATTCCATGACCAAGATTTTAATATTATAAGACTGATTTTCCTAGTGCGAATAATTACCTATAGTGAATAATTATGTACCTTTTCTATTTTAATAATATAAAATTACAAATAATAAATGTGTTTTCTTTGCTTAAGGTATGAAGAGCAATTTTCCATTTTGTGTTGTGCGATTTTCTTTCTCAATCTCAAAATCATTTAGCAACATCAGCATCATATAAAACCCCCTTTATCATAAGAGCGTAAGACTTTTCTTCTGTGATTCACTTGGCCTACGCCTTGCCATAAAATATTTTGAATCGATGTCTGTATATTTTGGTTAGATCGATTTTGAAATCGATTCACAACGTGCGACACGGCTACATCTCTAAGAAAGTTTCAAAGAAAGGAGTGACGTCATCACGATGGAGAGTAGTGTTGTGGTTTACTACTATTTTATTGTTATTGTTTGTTTTTTATTTATATACAAAGTACATATATAAAAAGAGTGGAAGACAGCACAAGATTAAATAAAACATACCCGATTATAAAGAGTCATTTATTGTATAAAAAACCAACAAAAACAAGTTATTTTGTGTTATCGATATATCAACTCTTGGCAGCACTGTTTTTTCGTAGGTATTTTTGTTTACTTTTCGCTTTGGCGTACAGGACACGGTAGTGAGTTTTTGGCGTGGCGCTCAAAAGGTTAAATCATGTCTTAACATACAATTAAAATTGTGAGCTTAATAGAGTGGTTATTTCAATATCAGATATAAGTATATATAGAATAAAACAAATTTTACAGATTTTCATATATTTAATTTAAACTTTTTTAATTCCCTTATTTCTAATAAAAAGTTTTATTATGTTTTAAAAATTACAGGGTTCCATACCTCCCTGTGCTAATATTACATAACATTTTATATGTATGTGGCATAATATTAGTTTTATTTGATATAAAAAATTTAATGATTTAATTTCATAAAAAAATTCATTTCAAATACTAAAAAGAATAAAATAATTTGCATATAATAGCTTTTGAATTAATTGTGATGAAGTGTATCACTGAATTAAAGCTCTGAGCTCCGACTTCAGAATCATAATGTGTAAAAACATTTTTTCTTTTTAATTTTTAGATTTTTTTAGCTTTTTATAAAATTTATTTATTACTAGCTACTTCCCTATTACCTCTACTATCTTATTCCCTGTGACTTTGTCCATGTGGAGATTATTACAATTTGATTTCATAGGTTTTCATTTTTTTGCATGCAAGCCTAATTTTTTTCTAAAATAAAAGTAGCCTAAGTCACTCCTATAACATCAATTATCTGCCTATGAAAGTCTGTTGAAATCGGTCCAGCCATTAAAATTATAGCCAGAACAAAAATACAGACTGAGAGATGATAATTTTAAAAGTTGTTTTTTTCTTATAGGTTCACTTACACTTACACATATACTTTTATGTGCATTTAGTAATAAGCTGTTATTTTGACATTACAAACAAGCACTTAACCACATGCTCAGCGGTGAAGGAAAGCATTGTGAGAAAACCTGTATGCCTGAGAAATTTATTTCAAAGACAGGTGAAATTCGCTAATATGTATTGGGGCTGCACGGTAGACACTTGTTGCTCAAAAACATTTTCAAAGAAGAGGCCTGAGGGAGGCCTGTGCCCAGCAGTGGGACGTATATAGGTTCTAACTTTAAACAGACACTTCAATTTTATTTATTTGTATAGATTTATTTAAATTCGCTAATATGTATTGGGGCTGCACGGCAGACACTTGTTGCTCAAAAACATTTTCAAAGAAGAGGCCTGAGGGAGGCCTGTGCTCAGCAGTGGGACGTATATAGGTTCTAACTTTAAACAGACACTTCAATTTTATTTATTTGTATAGATTTATATAAATTCGCTAACATGTATTGGGGCTGCACGGCAGACACTTGTTGCTCAAAAACATTTTCAAAGAAGAGGCCTGAGGGAGGCCTGTGCCCAGCAGTGGGACGTATATAGGTTCTAACTTTAAACAGACACTTCAATTTTATTTATTTGTATAGATATTGGATAAAACTAATTAACAAGTTCAAGGTAACTACTAATAATAATATAGTCTAAATAGTTACATTACAAGTTACGTTAAGTTTTTTAAATGAATTAAAAAAAAAAAAAACTTTTGCAGGGATGGGAGATATGATAAGGATATAGAATGATGAGTGAATGTGGGAAATAGATTGGGGCCCTGCACTCTATTGTGAAGAGTCAAAATGTGTCGAAAAAGGCACGTATGGCAATTCACAATGCTGTGTTGGTCCCTACTTTAACATAGGGCTGAATCTGAATGACAGGGTGAGAAATTGTGTGATAAGAGAAGAGTGTGGTTTGCAAGATGATGTTGTGACCAGGATTAAGAAAGGAATGCTTCAGTGGTTTGGTCATGTGGAAAGAATGAATGAGGAAAGAGTGACAAAGAAAATTTATGTTGCAGAAGTGAATGGCAGAGTCCGAAAGCGACATCCTAGGCGAAAATTTATCGACCAAATTGGCGATTTATTGAAAACGGGCCAAATTAGGAGTACCCTTAACCGACGAGCATGTAGGCTTAGGTATATGGATGTGAAGGAGGCGAGAGAGCTGTGTCAGGATCGTGCCAAGTGGAAGTCTGTAGTCTGCCTACCCCTCTGGGTGACAGGCGTGAGTGTTTATGTTATGTTATGTTTAAACATAAACACACACATTCAGATAACATAACTAGGTATGTTATCTGAACTTTGCAATGTTAGTGGCTGCATAGGAGAATCCACTACCCTATAACATCCTGTGGTAGCTATAAAAGGTGACAGAGATAAGTTGAAACAAAGGTGTGTAGCAGTGTCTTCCTGATAAGAAACCAAATCAATACAAAAATGGTGAATGTCAACCTGCTTGCCAAGCAATTAAATTATGGCAAATATCCCACCTATGAAGCAGGTGTG